AGTTATATGTTGTTTGAACTAAACAATTTGAATTCCAACCTTTTTTCTCTGAAAGTGTGATCTTCTAGAATCCCCATTGCGATTGTCATGAAGTTAATATATAACCTAGTTTATAGCTAGAGATTTCAAAATTCCAACAAGAGGTGGTGCTAGCCCCCATGGCTGCCGGGAACCGGCGGGTTCTCTGGGGATGGTGGGCATGGCGGCGGCCGTGGATCTGGATCCCACACAGATTCGTTGCCGGTTCTTCACGTGGATGGCCGGCGGCGCGATGAGGGGTCCGATGAGGGGATGGAGGATCTCGGCCGGAGTATCGGCGGACGCGTGTGGATGTAGGATGGTGGTATTGTCTGTCATCGTGGTGACATCGACGACAGTATGGCCTGGCGAGGTGGATACATTGATCATTCTTGAAGGTGGGACGATGGGAGATGGCGGTAGCTGATCCTACAGCATGCGCATGCGGTGCGTATAGAGGGTCTAGCTAGACCCATTGGTTCTCTCGGCCTGCTAGCGGGTGGCTTGTTGAGGTCACCGTAATAGATGTAGTGTGTTGATATGCGGTCAGGGCACGTCATCAAGATTATAGGTATAGCGACAGTAGTTGCCAGAAAGGTGGCTTCAGATTTTTTTTGAATTATGTGAAATAATATAATAAAATGACTGTATGCATCGCTTTGATGCAGAGGCCAGGATATTTCTTACTACAAAAAACATCTCATTTAACAAACCAGAGATACTCCCTCCGTCACCAGTGTAGTGTGGGAGTACCTTGAAGAGAATAGAATCGGGCACTCACCATTTCCGCATACCCGTTTAGAACCCGAATCCACTAGTAGAGGAAATGGGTTAGAGCAGAACCCCAAAACCGAACAGCTGGCCACAAAACCCCCTCCCGTGTTGGCAAAAGACATAAATTTGACCTTAGATCGAAATTATTTCATAAACTAAATTGTTCTTAAAAGTATTTCACTCGGCTGACTTTTAATGTACAGCGCTTGACAGCAAGGCGCTGCACTCTACTGTGCAACGCCTAACACTTAGGCGCCACACTGTGCAGCGCCTAGCTCTAAGGAGTTGCACTATACTGTGCAGCGCCTAGCTGTAAGGAGTTGCACAGTAGAGTGCAGCGCCTTATTGTCGGACGCTACACAAAAAAGCAGTTTAGGCCTCCTTTGGTTTGGAGGAATTTTGTAGGATTTTTATAGGATAAGATTTTTATAGGAAAAATTCCTTCAGAGCTCTTTGGTTTGTAGGAATGAAATCCTATTCCTATGGAGGAATTCTTCCTATCCTCCACATTTCATAGAAAAATAAACATTAGCCTAGACTCAATGGAAAAAAATCCTATGGTGTGAATCAAAGGGCATCTCCTTTTCTATTCCTATGCATAGGATTTGAGATGCATGTCATCTCATATCCTATGACTTTTCTATTCCTATGATTTTTCAATCCTATGAACCAAAGGAGGCCTTAGTTTGTGAAATACTTTTGCTTTGAGGTTAAATTTGTCAATTTTGCCTCCCGTGTTCGTCGCTTATCCCCATTTCCCACAAACCCCCAACCCAACACTCCTACTCCGCCCCCTTGCTGCGCGACCCAACCACTCCGCTCCTTCAAGGACGAGGAGCTAGGGTTTCCCGTACCGATGGCCGTCGCCGACGCGGTGCTGCCCTTGCCGCCGCCGCCACCGCCGGCGCGGATCGTCGTCGTCGTGCGCTTCGCCCTCACCCCGATGCTGGCGCTCGGGCGCGTCCTCTGCGTCGCGGGGGGGAGCCCTCGCCTGCCTGTGCTTCGCCGCTGCGTGGGTCACCTCCGTGGCCGCGGCTGCACAGATCGTGGCGCGCCGCTCCTGGGGCGAGGGCTCCGCCCCCTTCCTCTTCCTCCAGGCGCTCACGTACGGGGCTCTCAAGGTCTGCGTCTGCAGCTTCCTTGTGTTCGTCGCGCTTGCCGTCCTGTGGGCGTGCGTGGCCTGCGTGATTGCACTTGTATCTGGATCCACTCCGGGATTCAAGAAGGTATCGCGCAAATTAACTCCCTGTGACCATTATTCCGGTCGAATTGCAGCAGTACATAGGCCATTATGTTCTAATTAAGTTGCCATATATATTACGTTAGTACTTAGTAGTTACTCCCTCCATTCCAAAATATAGTGCGCCCGCGCTTTCCGAGGTCGAACTTTGACCATAAATTTAACGAACAAGACCGACTGCGGCGGGAGAAAAAGTTACATAATTAAAAACTTTTTTCGAATATGAATTCACTGATATAACTTTTGCTCCCGCCGCAATCGGTCTTGGTAGTTAAATTTACGGTCAAAATTGAAGCACGGGGATAGAGGAAGCACTACATTGTGGAATGGAGGGAGTAGTAATTTCGTAGTTCAGGTTGTCCTGATGTGTAGTAGCAGCAGCAGCAGTAGTACTAGTTTACTTGCATGTGTGTTCATCACTTCATTTGCATCCTACTATTTCCGAACCATTCCATATATACTGTTCATCCGTATGGTCTTATTGAAATTGTTGTCCTCCTCAGAGCGCCTCCGGACCAATCACGCGGGAGTCGGTTGCAGGCTTGTTAAGGCTTCTGCGCCCTGTGGTGCTTGGATTGGTCGCGGATGTGGCCTTCTTCCTGCTAGCGCTCGCTGGTCTTCTGGTAGCAATGATGTCGCCACATGTGGAGGGATCGATATCTCAGGGGGAAATGGTTGGTTCTGTAATCGAGGATGTGGGGACATTTGGTATACACGCGAGACGCGACAGCTTGCGTTGTGATCCCAGCTCTCGTTCTTAGTCTCTGGAGGGAGTACCAGGCGGTCAGGAAAGCACCATCACAGTTCTGTTGAGGTATACCTCCTCCCCCTTTGCTTTGCTCCCCAGTTCTTTTTCAATTATATAATCTGCATATTTTCTGTAGTCTCTTAATAGCATGAAAACAGTCACCGTTGTTAGTTTGCCATCATTTATCTTAACTTAGTGACTGCTGGTGTTGATATTTGTTAAGATGGAGCATTGTTCTATATAAAACCAATAAAGATTTTGCTATTTCCTCTGGTCATTGCATATTAGCATTCATGATAAAATTGGGTTTGGCATCGATTTTAAATTGCGCAGGATGCCAACTGATGCAGTTCTAACTTCTACTGTATGTATGCCTTTGTTACCAAGTGATGCTCATTAAAATGATCGATTCAACGTATTAGAAAAAAGTAATATTAACTGTTTACGCTCCATGGTCCGCTGTGACTGTTGTATCTTTGCAGCGAGTGAGATTGTAACATTTTTTGAGAACTCTTGTCACTGATACTTGCCCCGTTGAAACCAATGGGAGGACCCAAAGTTTTCAAGTTTTGTCTATGGCATACGAGTCTACTCTTCTTAGCTGCATTTGGCAATTGTGACTTTGTGCCTTGTTTCGTGACTCTGGTAAAAATAAGTAAACTGTTTGATCATGTAAATAAGTAACATGACGGTAAAATGGCACACCTCTAGTTCTTTAACAGTTATCACTTTTATGTGGCGCTATGCCCAATACATTTTGGTAGGATTACCATTGTGGCTTTCCGCTGTTCTGTGACACAGTTTAATGCTTTTATACTTTATTAGTAAGAAGAAGTAAATTGTTTGATCATGTAAATAGATAACATGACAGTAAATGGACGCACATCTAGTACTTTAATGTGGTGCTATGCCACTACATGTTGGCAGACGTGCCTTTGAGAACAGTTGATTTCTGGAGTTGCATTTTCATATCATTAGTTCTGTGTTTGTTAGCACTACCAATTGAAAGGACGAGAAAGATTCGAATTCTGTAATATCTCACAAGATAGAAGTTACTTCATTGCTGGAAAATGAGTGGCATTGCCTTTGGACTTATACTACTTGAAACTGTACTGTTGGAAATGTTGATATGACAATGTTCTTATATGTGGTAATCTGATCAAATTTTGGGTTGTGTTATTGGCAGACGAAGCTAAGAAGAGAAGGTGTCCGGAGAATTCTGCAAGAGCTACAGTACTCATTCTGCTGATGGTTGTGAGTGATCCCAACAGATGCAAGTTTTCAGAGGAAAAAGAAAGTTTCTGCAGACTTGCTTCTTTGTACCATTAGTAGACTCTATCTAATCGTCATTAGCCATCAAAACTTTTGTAGACGTGCTTATTTCTGCTATTGGTAGATCCTAATCGTCAATGCCCATGATGTTTCTTGGGTCATTAATTATGAGTCTGTTGGTGATATTTGGTACTCCTCACTAGGCTTGCACTAGAGTATTGGTGTATATATGATGGTGGAATTCGTTAGCGATCTCTTTGTACTGCCCTATTGGAAGAAAATGATTCCGTGAGACATTAATCTCGTGAATTCACTGCCGTTGGTTTGCGTACTTGTATGTTGTATGCACCTGCACGGTAAGAACGTTCTGCAGGTGGGTTATGTATGCGTTGCCATTTCGAATATCCTTTATCAGGGGTGGTCATCTAATGTGGCTCTACCTGCTGGCATGTCGTATTGCACTCCCTCCGTCCCTGGATTGTAGTTGTAGCCTTCAATTTAAGCATCCTACGCGGAATTCCACGTCCTTGTGGCGGGGTTAATGAGCTCATCA